ACTACTACTCCTACCACTGCTGCCACTGCTACTACTACAACGACGACGACTACCACTACAACTACGACTGCTGCTACTACTAGACGACTACTACTACTGCTCCTGCTCCTCTACTACTTCTGCCCTTCTGCTCCTCCTCGTCCTTCTGGTGCTTTACTGCCATCAGTTGTCTGCTTCTTCTTCTTCTTCGTCGTCTTGCTTCTCTGGTGCACTGGAGATGCGCCGGCTGAATATGCAAGATCGCCTCCGAAAGAAGGTTCTGCATGTTGCTGCTGATGATGATAGTGTCTGATAGTGATTGTTCATGCTGCAGCTGATCATGCTGATGATCGTAGCAATGGTGGTGGTGACGATGACGTTGGGGTCTTGAACCGGGAGCCCATTGTATAGCATAGCATTTGCTCGCGACAAATGCATATGACTCTGTTCCATCGTGTAGCACAGGAGGTCAAAATATATGAAGTTTCCGATCGCGCCACTTGCACAAGTTAGCAGAAACCCATACCGTGAAGCCGCATGGAAGATGAAGCATAGGCTTCGCTTTGAGCTATGGGCTGGGCAGCATAGGCACGGCATTGGTGAGCCTTCAGGGTTTCTTTCGGCAGTGCTCACCTATATAAGCACCCAACGAACTCATCAAGTCACGAACAACATACACTTCTGAGCAGGTGTGATTCTCCAACCACTGGTGGGAGCTTCAAGGGATCCCAGGCAGAAGCTTGCCGCTGCCAGGACCTGCACCGTTGGAAGACCGAGCTCCACCTGAAGCCCAGACCCGAGATTTTCATCTTCGGTGCCTTGCGCGAAGGGTCTTCGGAGGTTTTAGGGGTCTGGTATTGCTTTCGTTTCGCGGACCCATCGCGAGTCTTTCACACGGCTGCGATCTAGACACCTTTTCAAACAAATCCGAAGGCAAGGAACTTTAGATCAATGCTCCTCACATATATATATATATATATAAACGTATATATGTAGTAACTAGCAGTCACTCTCAGTATAAACCTATTCAATCCCCAAAAGTCTTGACTCTAAAACTCCCTATAATCCGAGGCTGGAGCGGATCCACGAGCTCGATCGCCAGCGGGAGAAGTATGCCACCGACCTCCAGCAGGCCGCGAGGGAGAGGGAGGTTTCAATTCTGGCGTGCTTTCGGGTTTAGGGTTCACGGATGTAATGGGACAGCACAAGATGAGGAAATACAAGAAGCTGACTACGGCGAATTTGTATCACAACAGGAAATTAATTTCCCGGGCGTGGGGCGACTTGCTTGTGGTGTAGCTTTCGAATTTGGGGTTGCAGGTTTCGGGCTTCGCGCAGGCTGCCGTTTGCAGTTTCTTCGTGGTACTCTCTCTCTTTCTCTATCTCTCTCTCTCTCTCTTTATCTCCATATGTATGTCTGTGTATATATATATATATGTACGATTGTTATTATTATTATTGTTATTATTATTGTTATTGTTATTATTATTATTATTATGGAATTCCCCAAAGTCATAATAGGGATTTTGCTCCACCAAAGCCAGGCGAAACAGCGCTGCGAGGCAGCTCAAGAAGAGCTCCGAGGCGCCTTTTCGTCGGCTTCGGAAGATTTCGGGCTTGGAGGGTTTAGGGTTTAGAGTTT